GTGTGTGTGTGTGTGTGTGTGTGTGTGTGTGTGTGTGTGTGTGTGTGAAACATCGGTGGTATCGATCCAGGCTTTATTAAACCATGAATCCTCAGCAAACGGCTGCCTCGCCGCCATCGCCGTGCTCCTCGCACATTGATTCCCCTCGTGGTCACGAGTCCCAGCCTCAGCGCTCGCATTTCATTTCCTCGATTTTTGATGAGGGAAGATGTCGTTTGAGCCCTTTATCTGCCTCTTCCTGCAGTGATGCAGAACATCCAGGTGTTCCAAACACGACTGAATATGACTTCTAAATATTTCACAATGAAGGTTTCAAAGTGGCAAGTTGCTAAGTTTAGCATAAAGGCACTGTAATGCAGAACTTATAAATGACAGATAATGCAGATAAGAATATTTTTTTTGGCTTAATAGAAAAACATAATAAATGCACATTATTTTATCCCAAACCGGCCCCTAAGAAAGCCCGTATCTTGACTGCACGTGTCACTGAAATCAAGCTTGTGACCCACTCTGCTTTCCAGACTTTTGTTTCACTACTTTTCCCTTCCTCTTTTTCTCCTTTTTCTTCGTCTTCCTGCAGGATCAATTCGAGTTTGCGCTGACGGCCGTCGCGGAGGAGGTGAACGCCATTCTGAAAGCTCTTCCGCAGTAGGAGCGGGAGCGCCTCCTTCTGACGGACCCCCTTCCGCTTCTTCTTCTTCCGCCTCATTTAGAGGACCGTCCTTGATCATTTTCCTTCTTCCACACCCGCCTCTGTTCGCTTCCTTGTTTCCGTCTCCTCTTTGTCCTCTCTCGTTTCATCTCCCTTCTCTTCCGTCGGTCCGGTCGTTATTTATTTTGTCTCGTCCTTCCTGTCCTCAGCTCTTCTAGCCTCCTTTCACGTCGTGTCGTTGCTTCTCCTGTATAACTTTACCCGCCCTGTCCTTTTTTTATTTCCTCCTGTCCTCTCCCTTCATTCCCTCTTGTCTCCTCTCCTCTTACCTCCTTCTTTCCTTTCTCCTCCTCTCCGTCCATCTTAGTAAACATTGTGTTTACCGTTGAACCGATCCTGTACATAGATAGACCTTCCTTCTATTGTAACGACCCATGCAGCCCGTTTTCCAAAGTGACATTTAAAAAACACATTTTCATAGATTGATAAAAGAAAATGTTTTTCTGTCGTATATTAATCATAGTTTCTGTTTGACTTGGTCTTTGTTATGAGTGTCTGTATCACTGTTTGTGTCTGATTTTTAGAGCCATGCTTTCTGATATGTTAGGTGCAACTCGTCAATTTCTTTTTCTCAAGAGTTGGTGATTAAAAACTGCTGATAGGGCGTTGTTTCCAAAATGTGTGGCAACTCTATTAAACGTCTGCAATTTTCCACTTATTGTGAGAGAAAAAACACACACGCCGGTACTGGATGTGAGGTGAAATAACATGGATATATATATATATATATTTATTTATTTTTTTCAATGTGAATTCTCATTATTCCAGTAGAAGCAATATTGTGTTTCCTCGGCCCGAATCGTTCTCTCTGGTGGACGAGCAGTGAGTGTGGCTCGTCGGTGAAGTCACACTCGCAGCAGATGGACTCGTAAATGTGTCCGGCCACGTGGAACCGAGGCTGGTGTGTGCAACGCTTCATTTTAAATACGGCCTCATTCCAGCGGGTTGACCTGTGGACTAAAGGTCGGCCGTGCTGTTGCCTCGTTAAAATCCCAAACACCGAAGAGCACGCGCTTTTTAATAACCGGCCGGCAGGAAGTTACCTTCACTCCAGAGCTTTGTGAGAATCTTCGAATCAGTTCAGCGAGACATTATTGATCCGATCGCTGGAATGAAGCCGTTATAAAACGCAGTGTTTCCGACCAGTACTTTCACGATGAAAGACGAGAGTCTTGCTTCTGAATAGCAGTTCTTCTATGTAGCATTAATGGATGATTTGTACATGTACAGTAGCTGAACCTGTATTGCATTTAAAACTAGTTTGCGGTGACACTCGTCAGCTGGTTTTTCCCAAAAAGCATCTTTGTTCTGTTGTAAATAAAAAGGAACGTGATTGTTTTTGCATGTTTCAGCCCATTTACTTCAAACCGCTCGTACTTTAAACCGCCGCTAACCGAATCATCCTCCCGTGTTCCTCACTTTTTTGAACGTACAATATTTCAGCAGCAATTTATCCCCATTCATAAATGTCAAGGATAGAAATCTCTTTGTAGATGAATTATTGTTAGAACATAATGTTGAGCAAACTCAACTTAAAACCTCATGACCACGCAGAAAATAATTTAAACTCTAATTATATGTAGAAGGTTTAAAGAGTCATATTGTATGGAAATGAGTGGAAGCCAATGGCTGCCTATAGAAAGCCGACAACATTAATTAAAAATATACATTCTTTGTATTTAAGGGGAGAAAAACACCAGCGTGGTGCTTTAAGATGCGATCGCTCCTACCGTCTCTATCCATTGGTGCTTTTATTTAAGGTTCACGGCGCTCCGTTAAAGGCCTCCATCAGCTTGTGAACAAAAGTCCCGTTATTCATAAGTAGGCTGTACAGTTGCACAGTTCTAGTAACCTTTCAAACAGGAGCAGCAACCCAGAGATCACTTAGTTTTTCTTGGCTTTTCAAACACGAAGGACTCCCTGGGTGTTGGGCAAAGAGATGGTTTTACCCATAATCCCCTGCGTGTGTGGGCCAAGAGAACTATTACTACTCATAAAACAATTAGGTTTTGGGATGAGTGAAATGAACAGAGCTCAAGATTGAACTGAGCAAAACACTCCTAACCTGCTGGGCGGTGAACACATCCATCATCTAAAGATGCCTTTTGGGAAATCAGCTCATAGTTTTGTGTAAAATCAACTTAGTTTCACTACTTTCAACAATTCTACCCAGTTTAATTTGATCCAACAAATCTTATTTGAATCACCAATAACATGACTTGCATACACTCTGCTACTAGTGCATGGCTTTTTTTATTCAGCAGATGAGTGTGCTTTACTTTCCTGTGGCCTCAAGACGATCTTAGCAAAACCCTTCGAGCAAACAAACAAATGTTCACTTCGTAGCATTATTACATTGTACTGCACGACGAGCTCCAAGGACCTCAACGGTGCAAAAGCCAAGAATTATCACCTCTGGACGGTGCAGATCGCGGTTAAAGTGAGCTGAAAGTTGACGCAGTATCGGTGCTGATGTAACACTGCAGCAAGCTGGTGTCATGTTGTTGGAATCGACTCCCATTTTTCGTCACAAGAGTGAAACATGCTGCAGGAAATGCTCCTTATAACAGCTCGTGGGATCGAAATGCTTCCGCCTAAAGATGCCGTCATGTATGTTATAACAATGTGGTAATACGTGAAGCAGCCTAAACTTCTCAGTAGGTCTTATTCCCCAGTGCTGTTCCATCTTTCACACACTCCACCAAGTATCAATAGACGGCTGGTCTGCTGCATTAACACTCTGTACATAAACCACAAAAAAACAACAGAAGATATTTTTGTTCTATTGGTGTAAACGAATTGTGAATAAAGTCTAATTGTCGATGCAGTATTGTAATGCAATCCTGACTCCTGAGTTGTTTTTTTCATCTCTGTCTTACCACAGTTTATAAAACTTGTGCTTGGGACGTAATTGTACACAATCATTCGTACCATCTGGGTGGGCGTCGAAACATCTGTTTTGTAGAGCACCGGACACTCGGCAGCGTCAGTGGGTTGGGCACGATGCAGAACGCCATCCTGCAGTAGACGGTGTGTGGAGCTCGACTTTTCACCGTATCCCAATTATTTTCATTCGACACTCATCTGGTAAAGAACACCTCTTATTCACCATGTCATACTTACATCCACGACCTTTCAAACCAAGGGTTCGAGGTCACAGTTTGGTCCAACAGAAAAATTACAAGAAATGCAAAATCTAAACTTTCATAGATTTTGAAATGTAAGGAGCACACAGTGGCCATCGTTCATGCTGTAAAAAGGCCCTGAAATATTTGGATGTAGAGGGAAGGAAAACTGAAAAACAAAAAGCAAAGGGTCCATATTCCTCCAGCTTACTTACAAAACTGTGCAGTCTATTTGAAATTCAAGCTAATGGGAAAAGAAAATAATATTCGATAAGTTCAAATTCAAAATTGTCTTCAGTGTAAACACAACAGGCCGTGCTATAAGTGTCTTATTAATTGCATGCTCTGTTGCAACGTGCTATTACAAATTGGACAAAGCTAAACTGACACTTATGACTCCAGACCATGAAACCAAAACAATGAGCTAAAAGAGGCTCAATGTTCCATATAGAGCTGCAGAAGTGATTTGAATGTGACATGATTTGAGGACTACCAGCAGCCTCAGTCATGTTGTCGTCTGCCTTCTTTTCCACAGCTGACATTCTTGACTTCAGAAAGAATTCAAGCGCAGGTGTTGCTAATAACAGCAAAAGATGGCTCCGTTCTACTCCAGTCTCCCCGTGACAGTGAACCAGCATGCACAGTAGCAAGAGCCTCAAAACTATGCGACGTGAAAATGCACTGCAGGAATTTGACAACCATGCACCACCAGGTACGCTGCGAAATACCCGCGTTGCCATGAACCAATTTTGTCTTTTGTGAAAACCATTTGCATTTATTTACATCATCGTGCCAGGCTTGCTGCTTCCATGGTTTCCATTTGTTTGGGGGCTAAGCTAACTAATCAGTTTTAATGAGATCAGTTTTTATACATTGTTGTGGACTAAAATCCGTACTTTGTGCATTAAAGCAGGTAAATGGATTCCATTCAGATTCGACGATGGGTGAGGATACCTGCTCAGCTCCATGAAATGTCAAATAGGTTGATCACCTGCGGTGCTAATCACCGCTTTCAGCCGCTCTGTGGCCAGAATGAAATGTCCATTTTCCGCACGACAGCAGCTTGACATTATTATTCAACCTGCGTCTTTTTTAGATGAAGCCAAGTGGATGAATAGCTTTTTTTATTTCTAGAGTGCTTATTCAGGTGAAACATCAGCTTTGGTATTGATTGTGGAGAAAACGCTCTTTGTACATAAGCTTGTGTTTGGCTGGCCAGCAGTGTTGACATAGAGAGTAGGAAGTAGGGAAATCGATTAAGCGAGATGCTGCTTTCTTCAATGATGAGTCCTATGAGTGGATTTAGAGCATCTTAAGTGTTGTATTTTTCACGCCAAGCCGCACACGGACCCTACCTTCCACTGTTTTATATACAGACTCGTAGTGGCTGGGGTGAGGAAGTATGAGACGACACCCTACAATGTATTCATGCAGATAGTTCTGGTTTTATTGTCTGAGGTTTGGAGATCTCAGATTTAAGAGCATTTCTTTTCAGTAATAATGTTCAAGCAGCTCTGTCTACTCCATAGACCTCCATGCCGATGTGCCCAGTCAACGCATTTTCACTTCCAACTCTGTCAAATACCGACGCTTGGTCAGTGGCCCTAAGCTTCAAACTATGACGCTCTAGCATCAGTTTAAGACGTGTCAGGGACAGCGTGTCAGTTTCAGTTTTTTTCAAAATAAACTTCCAACGTAGATTTATAGGTTTGAAGGTTTACTACTTGTTTTAGGCTTGACACATGGTTGTGGTTTGGGTTCAAATAAATGTGATTGTACGAGTGTTTGTTGCGTAACTGTCACCAAAAGTAAAGTAACATAATTCAACGTTACTTGGTTTCAGATGGGACTTGAACAGCGGTCTCCTGGGTTAAAGTCATGCGGTTGTTTGACCCATCCATCCTCAAATCCCATCTCCCCTATGCAGACTTTATACTCTCGATCTTTCTACTACGTCAGTTGCTCTGACTGTCTAAAATAACGATGCGGAGGGGTTGGTAGTTAGTTGTGAGACCGGTGCTTCTCTTAGAGACTCTAAAGGGTGCCTCGGTGCGTCGGTTTCAGATGCCGAGGGCCACAGAGTTGGGAGTGAGAACGAGTTGGTCCAGTCACCGCAACTATTTACTACACGTTTATTCAATCACATACAAGTAAAGAAAAGCCCCAGTGGCCCCTAGATGCTGATTGGTTCATTACAGCTCATGATAGAAGAAGTGTTGGAGGTACAAACAATTTAGTGGTAATTCCATTGTGTCTGTGCTGAATGGGACAAGGGATTTCAAGGAGATCCCTAAGAGGCAGAACTTCTTCATACCCCCCCCCCCCTATCCATACCTGGTTAAGCAGAGCTGCAGCTCACCTTTTACAACTGATGCTCAAGCTGTTATGGTTAAAGCCACTTTGTGATAGTAGTCCTCATTTGTCCTTATGTAGCAAGAATGCTAATGCGCATCTAGTCCCTCATGTCACTAATCTCTTTTGTGCAGCAGTTATCTCCGGTGTGTCTCCGCCTCTCTACATTACCTGACCTTCAAACCATCTGCACCTGCTCCCAATTCCCAAATCAACATACATATATATAAACCTGCCCTTTATCCTTTTTACAAGTTGTACATCTGACTCTCCAATCTGTTTTACTGAGCCGTTACATGGTTTCGCAGGAATTTAATTTAAAGAAAAATCAGGTTGTAGTTGGTACGTTGTTACTGTAATGAATTAATCTATAATCTTGTTTTCAATTCAAGTTGGATTTTGATCATTGATGCAGGAAAGTTTGGGTGGCAGATGAGATGCAAACTGATGCCACTGATGCTGAGGTAAAAAAAACTCACGTACACGGATTTGCAAAAAATGAAGTTTTCAGAAATGAGGAAATAGTGTATGTTTATATTCCCTTTGACACGTAGGCGTATTTGAAGTAGTACAATGGGGATTTAACAGGTTTTCAAGGGTCTGAGAGGTCATGGAACTCATTCAGCAAATAAATGACTGTGAGAACTTTCAATACAAGTGAAGAAGGAGAAGAAAAAACCCCATAATTGCCTTCACTTTTTTCCCTCCCTAGACAGCCGCATTATGCTCTGAGACTCACATTAGTCTACTTTATTTTACAGCTAAACAAGATGCCCGAGCATGCAGTGATAATACCATTGTGGCTCTCAGTCCCCACACCGCCTCCAGTGAAATATTGTCAGTTATTCTCCGGATGGCTAATGAGGTTCCCTGAAAGTCAGCAGTCAGTGTGTACAGTTCAAAATCATCTGCTGCTATTTGTAAAAAAACAACAACCATGGAGTAGCTGCGTCACTGCCGGGGCTGCTAATGGGCCATTGTTATTCTCGCAGCGAGAAATAAAATCCGAAGAGGCTCATTGCAGGTTCACAGACGGATGCCAGAGTTTTGTTAAGAAAAGAGACGTCTGCAGTTTTCACGACGACGGTTCAGATATTTTGTCTCCCTTTCGTACATTAGTCTGCGGGGAAACGTACGCACACAGTTGGATATTCTGTGACTGTTCGGGGATCAATAGAAGCCGTTGTAGACAGCATAACTCATCATCTCTGAAATGTCAGCGTTTCGCTGTGAATAGCAATCGCACACTCACGGATTATTTATCTGAGTTTTTACTGAACTCACAAAATAAAACTGTGAAATCGCCCAACTGGGAACCTTCAGCAGCAGCAGACGCCTGACGCTGAGCTGTTGGTGGTCGAGTACCTGCTAGAAGGTCACATAAGGGCTTAATGGCAGTCAAACAAACACAGGACTTTCACCCTGGAGACCTTTGTCCATGACCTGTGTTAAACCAAGTCAATATTGACTTATTTTTCCTTGGTTTTGTTATGCAACTTCCAAACTTTACTGATGCCAGCTATGCATCGAGCTGACTAATATTAAACCACGATCTTTTCCAAAAGCTAACCACGAAAGTCAACCTAGAAGCTAAGTAAACAATGCGTGACGTTGTGCATGAGACGTTAGCTTCCCTGTATCACCCATCTGTGTGTCACCCTTTCTGTGGCCGTGTGCACACCAGCACGGTAGTGGGCGCTGTGGTTAACAACTACTGCTACAACCTTATAAGTGAGGGAAGAAATAGAATCATGGGAGTTTGCATCACATTGGAAGCCAAAGACCAATGATCGAGCCTCCAGGTTTCTGCCTCCTCTCGTGTAAACCGATGAGCGTGACATTCAGGAGGTCGTTCCACTGGTGTGCAATCATCAGAATGAAGGTGAATGAGGGCAGTTTAAATGATTTGAGCCCATTTTCCGCTCATATTTACAACTCAATTAAGATCAAATGTTCAGGTGTGTTTGCGTGGCGCTGTGCAGGATCTGAACGATCATCACTTCAACCAGCATCTCAACGAGACTGGAAAAACTAAATTATTTAATTTAAATGACCCGTCAGATCTCTCCCCATTACCGCCTCGTCCAATTGGATTACTAACGGCCACGGCTGGGACTCTCGGCGTGCCACTCGGCGCCATCTCCCTTTGCCCGGTTCGCCCGCTGTGAGGACACTTCTGGCATTTAGTTGATCAGTTTCATCGGTGTCGCACGTGCGGCGACCCCAATATCACCCGCCGTCACTCATCATTAGCGCGTTTATAAGCACGCGTCCAACGGCGGCCCTCATGGGGAATTCAACCATTTGCATAGAAAAATTGCTTTCCTCCGTGCAACGAGAAAGGACTGTTTTGCATAATTACAA